CCCCCCCCCCACTTAACACCGTATTAAACGTAATTTTAAAAATCTCTGGCTGAGCAAAACAAGTGATTGCACTCTAGTATTTTTGGAGCCCAGTTATGTCTTCTGAAACATGAATTTCCTGGCCTAAACTCAGTAGTTTCATTTTCAAGGTAACCTGAATTTATACAGATCGTGATTGGCACTACAGGTAACATTACCAGTAGCTTCTCTGCCTTGGAATTCCAAAACTGCTCAGATGAAATGTAATTGTCAGCCAAAGCGTTAGTAAGGACTCTTCAGAAGACCTTGGGATAAATTCGAGGTGGGAAGGCAACTAAACTAATAGATTAACATCTTTCTATGAGAGATGTAGAATAAACATTACTTATTGTGGTTACTTATTAGCCATTTGTAAATGTTGTTAGTTTAGTCAGGCCCTTCACTGGTAAAGTGCTGTAATTATTAATTCTGAAGGCAGATAAGACTGTGACATTAATGCAGAGTGCATTTTAAAGTATTAAATCTTTCATTGAGCCTTCGGATAGAAAAAAATATGAAAACCTGTTAAATTTTTAGTTTAGTAGACGCAAGTTAATGTTATTCTCTCTCCTGGCACTCTTCGATCTCCACTTGAATTTACTTCCCTCTTCCCTGTCTGGTTTCAGTGGGTAACATTTAGGTCATTTTTTTATGATAACTAGTGGCAAGTGACTGCAACGATGGAAGTAACAAATTTTGGTCAATCATTGCTGACAAGTAAGGTAGTGTGGTGCATGAATGTTGGCTAAGATAGGACAAACGAGTAAAAATTCAAATACTCGAAAATGAACGTCTGGTGAAAGTAGAACCCAATTTCAATCACATTTGAATCCCCGCCCCCATCTTTACGAAAGGTCATTCAATTTCACTAGCCATGAAGGCCTAAACCTAAGAGTAACATTAGGATGTATGGAAAATTTCGCTTTAAATACCGGAACCTTAACATTCAAATTGCAATTCACCTCCGAAAGTTGGGCATCATCTTTTTCAAATAATATCTATATGATTAATTAATGTGATTCTGTTAGAGTTGGGGGGGGGGGATTCGATTTCATATTTGATAGACATTATAAAGATTCACCATTTATAATTATAAGTAAATTGGAAAATACGTACACACCAAGGGCAGGAAATTCCAATATCCCATTTTTCATTACTTGACAAAACGTTGGTCAGGTCTGAAAAAATTGACTATTCTTTAAAAGTTAACTAATTTGCAACTAAAATACTCTGGCCATGCAAGAGAGTCAGTGTAGTTAATGGCGCCGAGGCGACTATTTGGCTTTGTTTATTAGTCACTCAGTTGGTAATAAAATGCAACAGTATGTCAACCAGGAAAGTTAATGAGATATCCTATAAAGCCATAAATTCCATCATTCTTTTTAAATGCTAAATGTACAGATCCCCATCGAAAGCGCAGTGATAATTGAAATTAGTCACTACCTTTGGAAATTATATGATTTATAAAAAAATAACTTCGTTTGATTTGCTAATATTAGGTGAATAATGATTGTCTGAAAATTGCATGACTTCCAATTTAATGGAAAGTTTAGAAACATCAAAATTGGAAATACTTGCTTTTCTGTGAATTTCACATTGGGAATATGCTAAAACTAGAGTTTTTCGGAGCTAGCTTCTGCTTCAAGTCAAGTTGTTGTATAGTTACTAAATTATCAAAAGGTACGTTCTGATTAAGTATGCTATAGTCAATAACTAAGACTCATCCTTCTCTCTTAACCTCCTGCAGAAAGAACACTAAGGAACTGGCAAAAGTAGCCTGCCAGCAAGACCGCAAAATCGTGGGCATTTGTCTTCTAAAGTAAATAACGTATTAAGTAAATTTTCTTCAGCCAGAATTCAAAATCGAGTTAAATAAGATTTGATTATATTGTGCTGGATTGTACTGATGCAAAGGCTACCATCACCAGCAACCCACTATCGTTATACAAATCACATAGCTAAGAATAAAGCAGTGTTAAAATCAATAATCAGTAGTAAAAAGGAGTGTGTCAATTGTGCACAATACATTACAAAGCAAAGAATGTAAGCATGTCATTTTCATTTAAACAAATTGAATTATAACTGATCAAAAACGTTAGGAAACGTTTGTGAAATCCTCCCAATTTCTTCCCTATCTCTTCTCTTATTATAAGTCTTGTCAAAGGGTAATAATCTCATTAACCATATCCTATATTTAAGTTAAGTTGCAACCAATTATAATTGAATTAAATGAATTTCATAAGCATTTGTTCGCCAGTTGGGATATGAGAGGGCTCGGAGACAGAATAGAATATTTTCGGTGAGCCAAAACAACATTTTGAGCTGGATCTTCCTTGTAATGGATTATCAATTTTTGAATTCCCACGCTTCCATCTTGGTGGATAAAACCATGATTGCATCAATTAGTCTATCACCTAGTGGATAATCAGCAGATAACAATTTATCACATGACTAACTATATAGAAGTTAGGAAGGACATATTATATAAATGCGAGAAAAAACTTTATTAAATATTTCCTCAAGGAAAAAATATCGTTTTCCCATTAATTATGTCTAGTATATATTCAGTGGAAAATATACTTTATCAAAAAACGAATTTTCGTTTTAAATAACGAAAATTTTTCAGTTACAAGTCTCTCCCTACTTCTGATCGGCGCTATCACGATGAGAGGCCTCTATTAAATAAACGTTTTAAATTAATTTTTCGATCAGACCCTAACTAAAATATAGGAGGAAATTGCACTTACATTTCGGAAAGTGAAATTTCATGCAAAAAACGATTCATTTGATCGGACTCAATTTAAACAGTTTCCCTGAACTGACATTAGCAGGTATTGCCCAAAGTCGGGGTTAGATCAGTTATTAAACCTTTAAAGATGAAATCCTTACTGTCAACGACAAGATATTTTTAATCTTATAATGATGGCAGCTTTTAAGCCAAATGAAGGGTAAAATAAGTAGACTTGAAGAGACGTGGCAGAGTTTAGGAATAAAATAATTTGATTTCCGGAGTCTGGTCTATTTTCGTTTACGTACTGAGTAATTCCATGCCTTATGTTCCGAAATCCAATTTGCAAACAATGTCGCCTGAACTTCTGCATGAATTTATCCCCACGATTTTCAGCAACTGATGATCGGTTGATTTATCGGTTTTCGCAATATTGCACATTTTTTGGTCAAATGATCAAGACTATATGATGATTCTCACTTACGTCACTATATCTTCACAGAACTCACTGCTTTCACTCAAGGTGTTTGATAGATTCATACTAATGCTAACTATTGACCAAATCTGTGGCAACTCAAATTTCTGCTCATTCAAATTTGCCACTCAGATTTTAAAAACTTCATGACCGAGTGAACATCATGGTGTATGCTTGAGTGAAAAGGAGAGTGAAAAGTCAAGGAAGTGGAGAAACAAACCACACATCGGTAGAGTCTACAGAACAGGTCCTGTCTAAATGACTCACATCAGAGCCTTCTCCTTGTCTGCCAATTGGCTTTTAAGTTTCTTCACTGTGTCAGTTAGTTCGTCAATCTGTCTTTTGGCGACATTCAATTGACTCTGAAGCTCTTCATTTATCTCAAAGGCAGCTTCTGTCTCCTCCTCCTTTGCCTTCTCCGTTGATGTGCTAGCAATATCAGTGGCCTTTGCTTCAGCTATCATCTTCTCTGCTTGAAGCTGCTGAATTTCCTTACTTAGGTCAGCTCGAAGTGTGCTCAAAGCATCAACTTCGTTTCTACAAAGGAAATGGCAAATTTATCCTTGATTTATTTTGCAACGCGTCAGTTCGAAACCCATTCAAAGACTAAAAACCTAAAATCTTCACCGATTTATTTGTTTTGTCATAATTTGAAATGGCTCACTTTTTGACGAAACCGCCTACTGGTACCTTAGTGCAAGGTGGGAAGGATTTACTTTTAGCCTAACTAATATGCTGATATGCTCACCTGTGGTGATCATGGTAATTGTTTACGGCAAGTAACCGAGTTAGTCCAGTTTGATCTCCCTTTCCTTCAGTCCCTTCATGGCTCATTTATCAACCTCGGGCAGACCTAAAAATTTTCTCCCTTTATTAACCCACTGTTTTCCTTATTTTACTTCGTTACTTAATCAAATTAACATCTTAACGTTTGGAAGGTGGCATCTTCTCACGATTTCCTTACCTGATTGATACCCTCTCTGTCCCTTTAATGTCTTGTGGTAATGTCTTGGAGTTCGTAAGACTTCTCCATCCCATGTTGAGACCACTTAAGCTACCATCTTTTGACGATCGCCAAAACTAATTCTATTTTTTGGACTCCTTTACTTTTGTTTCTAAGTGCAATAAATCTACGTATATTTACGAATCTGAAACTGAGTTTGAAAGCACAACGTTTCCTTTATCATTTCCAGGCTATATTATACCTCAAATTAAATGTTTGTTGCTTCAATGGCTCATGAAACAAGTACTTCAATACTACTCTCACCTTGAAAAATGCAATAGCTCTTAAAATAAGATCGACCAAAGTATTTGGTAGCAAAGGGTTGGTAAATTGAGAATATCAAATTAGTCATAAAGACAGAATACACTGACCTGAGTTCAATTAATTCACATCTTTTATCGTGCCTATTCAGGGCTGATTTTGTTATCATTCTGGTATCGGCTTCCGTTTGTACTCCCTGGGAGAAAAGATCCTTCTCATTCAGCTTATTTTCTACTCAGAAAAAGAGCATTCCCGAATGTGTGAAATTGTAATGATTTTTACATATTAAGAAAATCATTTCAACAGCCAAGATCTTTGAAACATGTATATGTTATAACATTTAAGATTGGCCTTTGTAACGCCTACTACAATTGTTGACGTAGAAATTTTGTTTTAATGACATATGCTCGGTTGCCCTTGTGAAGAATCGCATATGAGCATTAATGCAAAGTATTTCACTAAAACCATGTCTTCACTCTAACACGCGATTTGAAATAGAAAGGGTGGAAATATTGTGCCTCTACCGATTATTTTAGAATATAGGAGTCTGTATTTTTATGATGGCCAAATTTCATATAGGTGAGTATGCATGGCAATGATTGAAACCGTCTAGCTATTTGCTGCATTTTCCCGTTGCACTAAATGCGTTCAGGCACACTACGATTCCATTAAAACTATCATAACTTCACTGCTATTATGTTACTAGATTCTCTTGAATAAGTTATTGCAAAATTTAAAACGAGTCTAAGAAACTACGTACCAGATCGTAGCCTAATTACTTCAGCCTGTGCTTCCCTGGCCTCTCTTGTTAATTCCAGCAATCGCTGCTCCAACGCGCAGATTGTGCGCGCATACTGCTGTGACTGCACTCGATAACCTTTAAGTTCGTGTTGTAAAGAGTCTAGGAGATTCCCGTCCCCTTCTGCATCCGAGGACGTCTTTGTCATCATCGTTGAGTCCCGCAGTGCTTTAGCATGAATTTCAATGTTACCAAGCACTTCAGACAGTTGGGATGAGAGTTGCAGCACTTTCTCATCATAGACGCGATCTCGCTGTCCAAGTTCCTAATTGAATGGAAGGGATAGTGTTACCGCTATATGTGCCTTAAGTGCTAGGTCTAATTTAGCCGACTCAAATCAAACCAGGCCAATGAAAATATCTATTCGACTATGGGGAGCGTTCATTGACAAAGCAAAATCTTATCGACAGATGTATTAGCCTTTATGTTGTAGAGTTACTTATGGGAGTCAGGTATGTTAATTACATTTCCGACAGCACCTGGGATTTAGATAAAATAACATTCTGGAAGTGTGGCTTGATTACATATAAGAAAATTTGAAGTTAGTGAAAATACAGTGGAATTTCTACTTTAGACTAACATAACTAATATTTATAATATTTACATTTAATAAAGCTTACATCTTTTAGCTTCAAAACTTCAGCTTCAAGTTGGTCAATTTTCAACTCCTTAGATGCCAGAACTTTATCATATTGTAGACTTTCGTCAGATGAAGATGATAGCTTTTTTTCATCTTCTATGATTTAGCAAAATTAGAATGAAGAGTAGCAAATTGTCACTCAAAGCAAATTATTACAATCTTCGCTACTAAAAATATCTTTGAATTTATGTTTTGGTCCGTTGATCCTCCTTTGTAAAAGATGTGGAGTAAAAATACACAATGCCTTTTTCCGATTTGCAGATACAACTCCATTACCATAAATATGTCACTACCTATTCTCCTTGCTAAGTGGTATCGCTAGTAATCGCAAAAGAATGCTTTGAACAAATCTGAATTCATGAATTTGTGAGTGCAAAATTAAGTGCATAAAGATAATTAGAGCTCCAGAAGCACTATTACGCCAATAATTAGCATGTACCTGTAGTTAATGGGAAATGGACCAAAGCCACAAACCTTGAATTCTTTAAAATAATTTTTTATATAATATAACGGCATCTCAGTCGTTCGAGTTCCCCTATCTTACGCGCCAGCTATGAGATATACTGCTGCCTGATTTGATTTTGGAATACTTCATTTGGATGACGATTAACAACTTAATACTTATCATCTCTATAAACCAAACAGTTAAAGAATTAAATGAAACATTTCAAATATATCTCAATATTGTGACCAATCATTAAAATGACTTGTGATAAATGAATAATTTATTTAATACATGCAAGCAACCTTTCATTGCGCATTAGAACATATGGTACAAATTTCCGTTAGAATGGGGATGCTTAAGAGCCCAATGATAAATTGAGCTTGAAGGTTAAGAAAACACTATCAACTTACTTAAACTAAGTTACAAAACTTGTATGAGTAACGAACAATAAAATATAACGTTATATGCGAGAAAATTCATTTATTAGATTAATAAATACCTATTTTTCAAGCATTGATCAGAAAAAATAACGTTTTGCAATTGATAAAACTAATAAAATATCTTCGAGATGGAACATTTAGATTGCATATTAAATCTGAAGTAAAGGGAAATTTGAAGTAAATTTAATACAGTTAAGATAATTTTGCGGGTAAAAAGTAAAAATTTCATTGATGTAAATTTAATTCATTTGACAATGACAACACGGAGTAAAGTGATATTTTGACATCGTGGTTACGAGAAATGCATCCTGATCCTAATTCCTAAGGTCTCGAGTGTTGACCAACATTATATAATTGGATATCCTACCAGCCTACCAAACTTATTTATTAGTATTATTACAAACCATATGCATTCGAGTTTTTCCTCAGAGGCAAGCAATACATGAGCTCCAAATGTTGGAAACCATTGCATCTACCAAGATTGCAAAAAATACGTTTTGATAAAATTTTCTCATCAGCTATTTCATAAAGTAGCGCAATTATATCAATCTGGTTGAACTCCACACAATTTTAAGTAAGTCATTTATAGAATAAATTATTTCAACTAGATTGAAAAATCTACTACACTCTTTATTAAACCCTGTTATCACGTTTCACGTTACGACTACATATGTGTTTATACCGTTTGATATAATAAATAATAAGGGAAATTTTAGAAAAGTTTTGAAGAAACAGAGAAACTTGTTAGCAAGAATCAATTTAACGTGAATCAAAAGACATAAGTATGATAAAATGAGCTTCAACAAAAATTATGTTAGTATATAGGCTTGTCTTTAATTCCATATAGGGCATAAATATAACAAAGTATTTTGAATTAATCTGCGCTTTATCTTTAGCTAATGACTATTGCAAAAGTAAATCTGTATTTTTAAAGTTGTGTATTCGCTGCAATTCGAAATAGATTATTATAGAAAGGTACTAAAATTTAATCCTCTAGATAATCAATTTGCTTTATAGAATGATTGAGCGTAACAGTGGCGACTCTCAGAAAAGATGAACCAATCTATGTATTTATATTAAAAAGCTATAATCAGTTATAGCAGCCATTATTGACAATCTTCCAGATTTAACTCGTAACTATTCAATGCTTAAATTGAGAGGTGTTTGAATTTCTACGCCTTCATAGCTCATTAAAATCATCATAATTAATGTCCGTAATATTGTTGAGTCCAACTTTAAAAGAGAGAACGGAGGGGAACATTGGTTTTGCGTCAATAATGCAAAGAATTTTACTTAAAATATTAAAACTAAATTCTTCACCAACATGTCATTACTGTGTAGAATAAAAAATTAAGATGAATTATAATCAAAAAGCTATATCTTTACATTAATATACTATTAATATAGAAAATTTTCTTTTTCGATATGACCTTATGAGTAAGCAAATTCGCGGCGTTTTATCTGGTCCATTGAATTGGGATGGCTGTTTTATTCCCTAAGAAGGTTCCAGCTTTTTCTCGAGCTTTAGGAGAAAGAGATGATGGTTTTGACTTCGATAGTGACTATTTAGTTCCTACAGAGGTTTCTACTTTGCAATCTTTTAAGGTGGATGAAATTATCAGAACACTCATAATTGGTGTCGGTTCCGCACAATGCAATGCGCTTAAGGAAACTGTTGATTTTTCTAAAGCTCAAATTATTTCCGAAGTAAGTCTTCTTCTCTCCAACCATATTATTATGACTTGTTTTGCCTATAAATTTGATGGAGCTGTCCTTATCTGGTTATGCGATACTCAACAAAGTGAATCTTGTTATGGTTTCGGTAAATGGATTGAAGCTCTTCTCTCACCTTTCGAGCTCGAGAAGAATGCCTGTATTTATATACTTTCTGATGCACCTACCTCCGAATTCCAGAGTGATTTGAAACCGGCTGCGCCCTTTGTTCGCGTTCTAAGATCACCGAAGGCTGCCTCAGAGTATTTAGATATTAAGGTTCTTGAACCCCCCAATATTATTTCCGGTTTCGCAGCCGCTTTAATGTCTCACTGTATCTACGAGTCACTCCCAGCCTGCGTCCTAATTACCTACTATGACAACATTCGCGCGTCCTCTACAGACCAGGACATCGCAACTGTGATCTCCCCTATTCTCAGATCGACCAATCAACTGCAGCCCTACATCCTTCCCCACCACAAACCTCCCAAACTATCTGCTCAAAACTTTGATCAGATGTATATCTGAGCTTCCCCTCTCCACTTCCTTCATTGTTATTAAATGGTGTTTTCTAGCATATTGAATAATTTCTCTCTTGTGAAATTAAGTACAGAAAGGCAAGGCCGGCAAATTAGCAATAATGACAGAGAAGGAAATGATTACACGAGTTTGTGAGACGGGGTAAACAGAACACATAAGCGAGCGTCTTTTTCATCACTAATGGACACAAACTGATTAGTCGAGGTAGCAAGGCGACAGTAGGGGGCTTGATTTGGGGAAAAGAAATGCAGTCCTCAAGGAATAGTTCGGTGTGATATATATTTACATGGGATTTATACAGCATGTTAGAAGGATGAGGGAAAAATAATGAGTAAATGTGCTGAAGTTTATATTATGGTACTCTGAAGTCGCTCCACCCATGCGCTGGCTGCTTTCGCATTATCGGCTGCGAATCTGAACTGGCGCGCTGTTGTATCAATCTAAAATAAAAATAGAAAGGATTTCAGCAAGATCGTATTAGACAAAGTAGGATCGTTAAGGAAATATACGTTTGGCTGAAAATAGCCTGGATGAGAGAAAAGTTAAACGTTGATGGATCCTTTTGTTTTTAACGTCCACTACCCGTCAGAGAGTGATTTCCCGCTCATTTTAAGAGGAAGAGAGATTTAAAGCCTCTTTATTTATTAGTACTGACTGCAGTTTTCTATTCCAGCAGCTAGATGTAAACGGACAAGTACCAAACCCTCATACGATGAACGATTTTATGTTCATGAAGATGGGATGTGCGATAGACTTACCTCCACGTGGTGCACCCTGGGCAACGTATACTCATACGGCAAAAAAGTCTATTAATCGGCAGTTTACTTCTGACTTCAAACTACCATCACCCCACTGTATGCCATATTCGACTACTTCTACAGTACTCACCTCATCTTTTTCTACCTTTGTCTTTACAACACTTCTGTCCCTCCCCCTCTGTGAAGACTGAAGTCAACTAAAGGGCTAATGATAACCATCAAAATGCCTGCCATTTGAAAAAATATAAAAAATTTCATGAAGATTATGTTACGTTTCGATTTAATTGTTTATGTCCTTATTCCATCAAATTATTTTTACTTGTTCAGTAGGCCTAACGTGATAAGTATGTAATCAGTTTACCTAGGAGTATTAAAATTAAGTGTTGGTTACAGCCGACCATTGGATCTTGGTGAACCGACTCTTACGCTCTTACATTCTTCGTGTTTACTTATAAATTACATCAGTAGCAGTGATTTTAAACAAAATTTCCAATTTACTTCGAAAGTGCAGCTATCCTGAAATCTCCTTGGCACAGAAGTAGTATTCTTTAGGAGTCTCACAGCACGCACATCCTGCAAATCAATACATCCACGAGGAACCTCATCCTGAGGGGTATCATAGTACCGCATTTGGTGATGTTCAGTGTCAAGGACAAAGAAGCGCGATTTCCAACTGGCCAGGACTTTTCGGCTGCTCAGTTTGTAGAGCTCACCGCAGAAAGCAATAGAACCACCCTGAGTAGCAGATATCGCGTTAATTGTACCTCGTGTAACTTGAGGTGAGTTAGTAGCTGAAGACGCAATACTATGGGACGAGAAATCACCACCGTTCTTTTTGCCGTTCGAAGCTCCCGTCACGTCGTACAATGAAGATGCACCAGAGGAACTTAATCCATTTGCCTTGAACCGGTATCTGAAAAGACAATAAATGTATTCATTACTTGCAATTGAGGCAACAGAACCCAAAACATGTGTAAAATATTGCGAAAATAACGATAAAATACTAATTCTGTGAAGCTTTAACACCTTTGGTTAAGGGTTTGTGATTTGTGAGCAAAACAGTTAGAAGTTACCTTGGAGCGGGAACTGGTTTAGATCTAAATTTGTAATAGGGGGGTTATACAAATGCAAAATAGTGAGGGGAGCGCAGTCCGCGGAAAGCTACCTTGGACGAGGATATGGTTCGAGTCTAGAAAAGCGAATTTGAGGTTAGACACCTTGATTCAACACCCAACAATTAAAACACTTCAAAAGAGCAAATTCAAAAGACTATCCAATATGGCATTTGTAAAAATCCGCAAAGTATATTTGATACAATAGCTCAATAAATTTGGTTATTGTTATTAATCTCAAAACGCAGCACTCGAACGCACAACTAAATTTTACATACCGTTGGTCTTCAACAAAGGCAACTCTATGAGGTTTGTGCTTTGGCAATTGCCTTGAATAGGTAAACATCTTGTTCGCATTATTTATACAGGCATGTGTTTTTTCCCCACAGGTTATTATATCAAGCGTACATGGTGGCTAAACTCGTTTCAATATAGGTGTCAATGCGAAATTTTTGGAACCACTCACACCGAAGAGGCGCCTATACAAATTAAAACTAGGTGTAAACCTCCCAAGAATAATAAAAACAAGTGATTCAAGTAAAGTGGAGGTAACCCGGGACGTTGTGATGAGAGATTCACAGGCTTCCCTCTCCTAGTAGTAAATAGAATATTGACAGGTAGTCATCAAAAAACCAATTTATTGGGTTAAAGATGGCAAGGAAATGAAATCACCATCAATTTTAGGTTAGCGCTATTAGACAGCAAATAAAAAAACGCATTGTTACGCAACATGAAAATTATATTTACTGAGTAAATTATGAAATTTTTCCTACACTCACAGAACGACAAGCATTTATTAATATTTGCAACACGTAATCACTAAACTAGCAGCCTGACATCTGAACGATGCACATAGGAAGTAATTTAGGAAAAAGTGCAGCAAACTGAAATTTCAATTAAAAAGACTTTCAAACTTCCTTCACTCGCAAACTTTGAAGATTCGCTTTTCGTGCGATAAGAATGAAATTGAGGAGTGAAAGAACACCTAACAATTTTAACTTCGGAACTTCAGATTAGCTGATTGAAAAACAAGTGATATTTCTATCCTTGCGCAATTAAGCCCAATTAGACGTTAGAAGCGCACGCTAATTGACGGCTACAGTTGACAGATGACAGAGGGCACAGTTTGACATATACCTATATTTATTATGTCGTAACGTAATCTCCTATTTCTAAATATTGACATATAATGCAAGTCCCATATTTCGAAATTTACAAAAAAAGCTCCCAAGAATATACAAATTCCCAAGATGTAGTCAAAGAGGCAACGAGGTAGGTTCATTGCGTCTTGCAGACTTGTTATTATCATTACTACTAGCGTTAACCGCATTAAAGCAAAAATATCAATTTTAAGAGGTAAGTGACTGACATCGAATAACAGTAAGTGCAAGAAATGACAAATGTGCAGAGATCAAAATCATACGAAGAGCAATGGGGTAAAATATCCAAGTCCAGCTTCATTTGCTTTTTTGGATTCGAATTGTGTCAATAGTAACGCAAAGGCCACTTCATGCTCCAAAATAGGAAATTTAAGATTTAATCTCTGCATTGTACCAAATGTTTGTCTACGATGTTCAGTGCTTATTACCTACTAGTGAAATTTAATCAAAAAGAATTCGTCTTATACCTTTAACGCATCCTTTCCCACAAAAGATGAGAATACAAACAATATTGCACAATATTCCCCTGTTTACAGTTTTGATAAAGGAGGAGTGGGATAAAATTGATAAGTTCGCAGAGCCCTGTAAGCTGTGTTCATTCAAGATGCACTGTCTTACAACTTTAAATCTAACTAGACGATACATCTAAGGCAGAAACTGAACTAACTACTTAAAAGAAAAAATAAGTAGATAGAGTCACGCCAAACTTTAGGAAGACATATTTAACATTTCTTCAACTTATTGTTTCACTTCAGGTTTAAATTATAAATGCTTACGGTGTAGGAACAGCCAGTGATTCAGGTTCAGTCGATGACTCGTGTAGATTACGATCCTCTGTCCTCGCTCGAGGTCTATTCCACGGTCGGATAGATCCAGTGCCAGGAAGATTTGTGTTGGTAACTCCAGTGTGGTTACGATGACGTACAGAGCCGTTCATAGACGGTGGTCGACCTCGACAGTCCTTTCGCACTATGGGAGCACACTTCTCGTGACAGCAGAAATTGCAGTCCACACACCGAACCAGCCCACGAGTGATACCAGTTGCAAGGATTAGAGCTTGACAAGCGTCACAGCGAGACACCGAGAGAGTGGTCTTTATGCGCTTGAAGTTGTGAGGCTAAAAAACAGTATTGTCAGAAAAGTGAACCGGCTACCTCTAAGTGATTCTATATCAGGTAACTGCAGGCATGGCTCAGTAAACATTTAATTATTTGATTATTATACAATACGTGAGAAGACATTGTACCTCCACTACATTATCGGCAAATAAGACAGATCTACATACGTGATGAGTTATCACGTTATATATATATATATATA